TCATTGACTATGCTAAAGCCTTTGATTGTGTGGATCACAACAAATTGTGGCAAGTTCTTAAAGAGATGGGAGTACCAGACCATCTTATTTGTCTCTTGAGAAACCTATATGTGGGTCAAGAAGCAACAGTGAGAACTGGACACGGAACCACTGATTGGTTCAAAATTGGGAAAGGAGTCCGGCAAGGCTGTATTCTGTCACCCTGCCTATTTAACTTATATGCAGAGCACATCATGAGAAAGGCAGGGCTAGATGAATCAAAAGTTGGAATTAAGATTGCCGGGAGAAATATCAACAACCTAAGATATGCAGATGATACCACTCTAATGGCAGAAAGTGAAGAGAAACTAAAGAGCCTCTTGATGCAGGTGAAGAAGGAGAGTGCAAAAGTTGGCTTGAAACTCAACATTAAGAAAACCAAGATCATGGCATCTGGCCCTCTCAATTCCTGGCAAATAGATGGGGAAGAAATGGAGGTAGTGACAGATTTTATCTTCCTGGGCTCCAAGATCACTGTAGCCAAGAAATTAAAAGACACTTGCTCCTGGGGAGGAAAGCTATGGCAAATCTAGACAGCATACTAAAAAAAAGAGACATCACCCTGCCAACAAAAGTACATATAGTCAAGGCCATGATTTTCCCAGTTGCAATGTATGGCTGTGAAAGTTGGACCATTAAAGAAAGGTTGAGCGCAAAAGAATTGAGGCCTTTGTACTATGGTGCTGGAGAAGACTCCTGTGAGTCCCCTGGACTGCAAGGCAATCAAACTGGTCAATCCTAGAGGAGATCAACCCTGACTGCTCTTTAGAAGGCCAGATCCTGAAGTTGAAACTCAAGTGCTTTGGCCACCTAATGAGAAGGAAGGACTCACTGGAGAAGAGCCTAATGCTGGGAAAGATTGAGGGCAATAGAAGAAGGGGACGACAGAGAATGAGGTGGCTGGATGGAGTCACTGAAGCAGTGGGCGTGAGCTTAAATGGATTCCAGAAGATGGTAGAGGACAGGAAGGCCTGGAGGAATGTTGTCCATGGGGTCACGATGGGTTGGACACGACTTTGCAACTAACAACAACAACAACAACAACAACATATGATAATTATTATAAAAATGTGAAAATTCATTCTGGAAAAATAATTTAAACTGTGTACAATAATGCAATAAATGTAAAGGTATTGATAGTTAAAATGAAATAAAACTGGATAATTTCATATAATGAGATAAATGTCGACCATTTCACCATGTATCATAACATCAATTATCCAAATGAGCTTGTGATACTGTCTTACAGATTCAATCAGTTGAATACATGATATTATCATAATTATATGTTACCAACTATACAGGTCATAATTGGCTGGGATGATTAATCTATATGGAGTAATACCTGTAAAAATGGATAGTGATACTGACGATCAAGCTTTGAAGGCATGGATGGCATTAAAGGATGTTTGATTTGGGTCATTTGTCAGGTAATGCAGGTGACTATTTTTGCAATAAAATACTTGGAGACTTACATATCAGTTCTACTGTAGATACAGATAGACCTTCTCCTTGAAGACAATTCTTCTTAGAATGTAATTTCAATAGAGTCTTTGCTACATTTTAGTAGCATGGTTGTTTAGTAGCCTTTTGCCACATTTTTAGTAGAATGATTGAGCCTATAATATAGAAGACTGGATATCTCAAAAGTAATGTAATGGAATTCTCTAAGTCTGGGAAAGAAAAACTATGTTTCCAAAACATTGAAATGGAAACCAATCTGGAGGACAATCTGTCCTCCAATTCTATCTTTTAAGCAAGTCATTAGTCTAGCTAGTAAGGAATCTGAAAAAGGATCAAACTAGTCCCAGCATTGCTGCCTTGCCATACTCATTAACAATCAAACATATAATACAGTTATCTACTTTCCAAAATCCTATAACCTATTTACCTTTACTTGCACTTAACCAAGGAAAATTCAGTATATATGACATCCAGGATTGATCATTTTTTAATCTACATGCCATCTATATGGCAAAATCATTTACAGTAAAAACCATGTAATGAAATGGATAATAAAAAAATAATCAGAAAAGAATGGATCAATGCTTTTTAATTACATTAATGCATTTTGGAGATAAATAGTAAAAATCTTATTAGTAATTCATTAGCAGTAAGGAATAATAATAATATGCTTTTTTTCTTTTCAAGCTTTTAACTACTGCAAATTAGTCAGTGACTTCATCAAAAATGATCATTGCATATTCAATAGGCAAGATATACAGGTTTATCAATCTGTCTTCACTTATCAAAGAACACTTTCCATTAATTTTAACTTTTAAATTTAAAACATTCTTTTCACATGAGGCAACAGATGTACAATACTTAGGAAAAGGCCTAAACATAAGGATAAGTGCAGAGCTCCATTAAAATTCCATTTCACAAAAAAATCAATATCAAAGATACTGCCCATATCTTTGTTTCTTTGGGATCAGTTGTGGCTACTTTCAAATGTCTGTGCAGGCAGAAAATTTTCATTAAAATATCTTCAATAATTATCATACCTTTCTATTATATTTGGTTAAAACTTGAAAAGATTTTCTTCTTTGCAAAAATGATGGAAAATGGGTTGATGATAATGAACAGTGGCATTATTTGATTCATTGCTTCAGAACAAGAATCAGAAGAGATATGGTTCTGATATCTCATATTCAGAGACTTTGGGATTTAATTTCCACCACGTTTTACAGCCAGTTATAAATATGGATGTCCCATTGTTTGTCTTACTATTTGCAAATAACTCTGCAGCAAAAATAAAACTACTTCTTAACACTTTGTTGGTGTTTGGTAAAGATTTATAAAATTATGACATTGTTCAGTGTTGATTGCCTCCTTCGCGCTCTTGTCCTTCTCAATAACCTGTAGAATAAGTTCCATATTTATTTTGAAAAGATTCATTTGTTCTCTTAAATGGTTTAACTAACAAATTGCTCTGGAAACCATATTGGTCAAGCAATGATATCAAAATAAATTAAAATATAATTCTTCATCAAAGTATTAGTCTTCACTAGCATTTATTTTTTCCCCATTTTTTCCCTGTTGGTGTTGCTTCTTACTATTATTTTCTTTCTTTTCCCCACTATCAATACTTATAGAAGATAATTCCTTTTTGCCTTTGAGCCTTTGGTCATCTGAATTTCTGTATTTTTTTAATGTAATTCTTTGGATGTACCAGCTACTTTTTTTTCCAAAATATTTGTTAACTATAATCATTACTGAAGGCATTACATACTATATTTCACAATAGATTCAGACATTGCTTCAATTACTTCCTTTTTTGTTTTTTATTTTTATTTTTTTGTTGAGCACCAGTGGATCACTGTCATTCCATATGGATACTTTAAATTTCTTTACAAAATTCAGAATAATTATGAAACAGTGCTGCTGACAACTGCAAGTTGCAACTGCAGACCACGGTAGAAGATAAAAAGTGAGCTTGAATGATTTTGAACTGTTAAGAATGTGATGCATATTATGGGCATGAGAAATTAAATAAATATTAGTAACAAACTAAAAAAACTATTTTGCACAATATATTTCATATACCTGAAATTAATAGAAATACGTACAGCTTTCTATTTCCAGTGTACAATTTTGTTCATCTAATGGGTATCTTCTCAAGTCCATCATGCAAGCTGCAGTAGTTGTGATTCTAAAATAAAACAGAACAAAATGAATTATTAAAGAAATAAGGAATATGAAATAAAACATTTAAATAAATATTTTGAAATAAATAATAAGAGCCAATAATAATAAGAGCTTTGCAATAGTAGCAAATATCTGTAGCTTGGGTGTAGGATGAGGGTGAAGGTTTGTTCTCTGAGCTTGTGGGTTGGTTTCCAAACGTTTTGTTACCAGGCTAGGTAACATCTTCAGTGGAGTTTAGGGGATGTCAGTGTCAGTGTTATTCTGTTTATAAGGGCTTCAGGTATGGGTGTGTCAAGTGAGGATTTTGTGATGGGTCAGATATGAGTCATCACTGAGGGGCTTGTGATGGGTCTTGTGATGGGGAAGTTACATCAGGTCAGGATCATTGGGAGGTGAACTGCTGGTGGGGAGGAAGAGGGGGGCTTGTGTGGGTTGGTTGAAGGTCATTGTTGTCTCTGGTTGGCTGTGTGGTTTATTTGGATTGTGAGGGGTTTGTAGGTCAATGTATCTATTGATGGAATTGCTTGTAGACTGCCATAATTTGATGAACTCATGAGTGCAGTGGGTGGTAGATTGGCCAATGATTCTAGTGTTGCTCCAATTGAACTGGTGCTGTTTGGTGTCACTGTGAGTAGAGATTAAGGATTTGGGATCATGGTAATTGACTGTCAGCTAATGTTCATGGATCCTGGTTTTTAATTGATGTGATGTTTGTCCCCCGTAGAATTGGTTGCAATGGTTACAGTTGATTTTGTAGATTACATTGTTTCTTTCATCCTTCTGTATCTTGTCTTTGGTTCTGCTTAATTCCTGGTGGAGTGTGGCTATAGGTATTGCTATTCCTAGGGGTTGGAAAATTCTGGCTATCATTTCTGACAACCCTTTTGTATGGTAGGATTAGTTTTTGCATGTGGTCAGCTGCGTGGTGTGTTGTGGTTTGGGTGCTGTGTGTCAGAATACAAAGTTTTTGGGATAGTCATTATGGAGGAAGATGTCAAGTAGACATTTCTATTCTGCTTTTTTTAGTGTTGTGGTGCTGCAGTGTAAACTGGCCCTTCTGAAAAGGGTCTGGACACAGCTTCTTTTCTGTGTGGTGGGATGGTTGCTTGCAAAGCTGAGGATCTGGTTTGTAGTAGACATGGGATACCAGTTTTCCATTCTCCATTCTCCTTATGTTGATGTCAAGGAATGGGAGTCTGTTGTCTGTTCCCCTTTGCATGCAAATTTGATCCCAGGGAATATGTTATTAAGTAGCTGGTGTGTTTCTTCAATTTGGGAACGTTTGATGATGACGAAAGTGTCTTCAACGTAGCACATCCAGAATTTTGGTTGGCTGGTGGGTAGAGCTATGGATTTGAGTCATTGAAAACTTTGTATTCTGACACACAGCACCCAAACCACAACACACCACATAGCCAACCACATGCAAAAAAGAACCCTACCATACAAAAAACAATTGTTGGAAATGACAACCAGAATTTTCCAAACCCTAGGAATAGCAATACCTATAGCCACACTCTGCCAGGAATTATCCACAACCAAAGACAAGATACAGAAGGATGAAAGAAACAATGTAATCTACAAAATCACAAATCCTTACTCACTACCCACACTGACACCAAACAATTTGATTGGAGCAACACAACACAAAAATCATCGGCCATGCTACCACCCACCACACTCGTGAGTTCATCGAAGCCTGGCACTCCACAAGCAATTCCATCAACAGACACATTGACCTACAACCAGCCTACAAACCCCTTAGAATCCAAATCAACCACACAGCACTGACCCTCAATCAACCCACGCAAGCACCCCTCCCCCACCAGCAGTTTACTCCCCAATGTAGCCTCCCCATCACAAGACCATCACAAGCCCCTCACTGATGACTCATACTTGACCCATCAGAAAACTCTCACTTGACACATCCATACCTGAAGCCCTCATAAACAGAAGAACACTGACATTAACATCCTCTAAACTCCACTGAAGATGTTACCTACCCTGGTAAAGAAACATTCAGAAACCAACCCACAAGCTCAGAGAACGAACCTTCACCTGCAATAATAAGAGCTACAAATTATGTAGAGATATCTTTACTAGAGATTAATGTTTTTCTTGGCGGTCTGGATGGTGCTGCATTCCATGGTATGCCCTTGGAATGGCCATTCTGGCCGTTCTCACAGGACGGCACAATGAGTAATTTTGATTTGTTTCCTGATACTTCTCCCTATCCCACCCTGCAGTTCCCTTGCTCTGTTGCTTATGGTAGACTGACAGCAAGTGAACCATGGCTGGAATAGTTGCAGTCCTGACAGAACCTCACTAAAGTGGTTGTATTTTTACTCAGATTGTATGAGCAGCTATAGGAACCTGGGAAAAGCTTCGGTGCCTTAAAGAACTGGATCTGAATCTGAAATGATGCATAACCTGAAGCAGTGTTTCTCAACCTTGGTAACTTTAAGAAGTCTGGACTTTAACTCAGCTAGGGAATACTGGGAGTAAAAGTTCAAATCTGCAACACATCTTAAATCAAGATTGAAAAACCCTGGCATGAAATGAATATATCTGTACTGTTGTTAAAAACAGCATAACAATTAAAATATTATAGGATAAATACAAATGATAAAATATGACTAGTATTAGAGAGATTAAGTAGTAATAGCAATAGGAATAGCACTTAGACTTATATACTGCTCCATAGTGCTTTACAGCACACTCTGAGCTGTTTACAAATGGCAGCACATTGCTCCCAACAATCTGGGTCCTCATTTTACCAACCTTGGAAGGCTGAGTTAACCTTGAGCTGATCAGTAGGCATAGTTATATTTGTCTTACATGATGTATTCTCATGTCAGTTGAGAAGGCCACATCATATAGACAGGCTTAAGATACAGGAGGATCTGGACAGACTTCAACACTGGGCGCTATCTAACAAAATAAAATTCAATGGTGAAAAAAATAAGGTTCTACATTTAGGCAAGAAAAACCAAATGTACAGGTATAGTATAGGGGGTACCTTGCTCAATAGTAGCAACTGTGAAAGGGATCTTGGAGTCCTAGTGGACAATCACTTAAATATGAGCCAGCAGTGTGCTGCAGCTGCCAAAAAAGCCAACACAGTGCTAGGCTGCATTAACAGAGAGATAGAATCAAGATCACGTGAAGTGTTAATACCACTTTACAATGCCTTGGTAAGGCCACACTTGGAATACTGCATCCAGTTTTGGCCACCATGATGTAAAAAAAATGTTGAGACTCTAGAAAGAGTATAAAGAAGAGCAATAAAGATGGTCAGGGGACTGGAGGCTAAAACATAAGGAACGGTTGCTGGAATTGGGTATGTCTAGTTTAATGAAGAGAAGGATGAGGGGTACACGATAGCAGTGTTCCAATATCTCAGGGGCTGCCACAAAGAAGAGGGAGTCAAGCTATTCTCCAAAGTGCCTGAAGGCAGGACAAGAAGCAACGGCTGGAAACTAATCAAGGAGAGAAACCACCTAGAACTAAGGAGAAACTTCCTGACAGTTAAAACAATTAACCAGTGGAACAACCTGCCTCCAGAAGCGGTAAATGCTCCAACACTAGAAGTTTTTAAGAAGAGACTGGACAGCCATTTGTCTGAAATGGTATAGGGTTTCCTACCTGAGCAGAGGGTTGGACTAGATGACCTCCAAGGTCCCTTCCAACTTTTATTATTATTATTATTATTATTATTATTATTATTATTATTATTATTATTGTTGTTGTTGTTGTTGTTGTTGTTGTTGTTTTTGTTGTTGTTATTATTATTATTATTAATAATAATAATACTTTTGCTTGCTGCTGTTGCTATAATGAATTTTGTTTGTTAAGTTTATCTGGGTAAAAAAAAAGCTACCAAAACTATTTCACAATTTACATGGATGAATCCTGGATTCAGATCCAAATCTGGCTCATTTGGAAGAAACAGGTGATGTCTAAACTGGAACTGAGTTCTTACAATCAGCACCCATTCTGAAGCTTCTCCATTTTGACATATAAGGACTTGAAAATAGGAAAAGGATTAAGTAGTTGATGTACTGTAATTTGACAATTTATAGTTTTATTTTTCAACCATAGTGAACCCTTTATACCACAACTGTCTATGCTCAGTGCTTTGAAAAAGGATTATTAAAATGATACGTTGCAGCACATTGCTGCCATTCAATGTTCAATCTCCAATTGTTCTTTCTGTTACTTTGATACTAATGGAACAGAGAACACATAAGAAAAATAAAAATAAATACTTCTAAACTTAACATTATCTTTCAAAATTTGGCACATTTATTTTCTTAGGAAATTACTTCATTTTCATAGCAAGAAAACAAAGAATACCCTACAGAGTAAAAAAAATTCCCCAAACATATTATTATATCTTTCCCCAAACAAACATTTCTTTCTACCAAAATCATTACATCAGTTCTTCCAAACATTTTCAAATTTAATGTGCAAATTGAAAAATTTCTTACTTTCCACTAAAAGTCTTTAACCTGATATTCTTATAAAAAACAACTATATTTCATTTTATTTTAGATATAAAGATTCCATTCAGTTTCAAAGAACTATCCCTATATATTTCATTCAGTTTTAATTATAATGCTAATGCTGACAGCTTTATTTTTAAACACTTAGAGCAGGGGTCACCAACCCCCAATCTGTGGACCGGTACCAGGCTGTGGCATGCCAGCAACCGGTCCACACAAACAAGCAAAGCCCCATTCATGGGATGCAGGCAGCACACAAAACCATGCAATCTCCAGTCTGTAGAAAAACCTTTCTCCATAGAACCGGTCCCTGGTGCCTGAAAGGTTGGGGACCTCTGACGTAGAGTACATAAAATAAAATCCTGCATTTGTTACTCAGAATTTGTCAGGTTTTATAATATGAAGTTTCTTTTCCTGCTGGGAGGTATACGAGAAATGTATATGTTATATTTTTTCATAATATAGATTAGTTTATATTTTATAAAAACTATTTAGAGCC